GTTCACACTTGTACTTTCTTCCAACTGGTTCCGAAATTGTTCTTGTAGAGACAATGGTTACTAAATGTGGTTTCGTTTGTTTTCCAGATCAAAAGATGATCCAACTCAGTACCGCGAATGTTACAGCAAACTCAGGTCATGGGCATATAACTCACTGGATCTATATAAGGTCTGCATTTTTCCCCTCTTGGCCGTTTTGTTTAGCCTCAGTTTGTAAGAACCTTAATCATAACTGACTAGCTGCTTCGAATTTGTAGCATGAATTGCTTCGAGTGATGTATCCCGTTTTTATTCATTGTTACATGGATCTGGTGGGAAAAGGGCACACTCAAGAGGGTACGTCTCGGAATACAATTAGACATTCTGAGTATTTTCTTAGCGTAGTTATTAGATTTATGGATACAATGACTTATGCTACTTTTCACATGGGCAATAATTTACGATTGTTTTCCAGCTAGGGCCTTCTTTAACAGCTTCCGAAAAGATCATGAAATGATACACTTACGGGATCTTCAGAAGCTGGAAGGCGTTCTTGCTCCTTCTCATCTAGAGGTTTAAGCTAACCTTATATGGTCGTATTATGTTGATAATCGATTTTTTTTTTTATCAACTGTTTTATGACCTTGGTTCTTATCAGGAGATGGAATTTGCTTGTTCTCTTAGACAAAGCAAGGTCAACATAAAAATTTGTCAGGTAAACTTAAGTGAAAAAATGACTGCTAGGTAGTAGGCAAATGCACAAGTATTCTGGTCTGATTTTAACCGAGTTTTTTTTGGGTCAAAATGTGAATTTATATTATTACCAAAACGGGACAAGAGTTTAATTACATTGCTTAACCGAATTCCACGAATGCAGACCTCTAATACGCTTACTGGATGTTGCAGTATTCATATGATCTATTGCTTCAGTATCTACATAGGACAGAATCTACTTTAATGCTTGGTATTATTAACGAGCACATCAATTTCCAAGGTAAATGTGTTTCTTTTCATATATATTCAATAGCATGTAGCAATTTTTTGGATAGAAGATTAAATCCACCGATTGGTCGTGGGTCATGTGTTGCAGTCTACTCAGGACAGCCTAATTCCGCATCTGATGACATAGAGGCTGTCACCATTGTTGGGAGTTTTCAGGACAAAGCTAATCACATCAATCAAAAAGAAATACAGTGGGGAGTACGTATTTTTCCTAAAGCTTCTTTTACTTTTTTTTTTACTGGAGGAATACCTGATACCTCCTCTCGGGGAAGATATTATATTTGCAAAGTCGTTAGCTACATATGCATGTTTCTTTCATAGTTGCTTGAAGACTCGCTAGAAGATCGCCTTGAAAAGACAGGTCTACTGTCTGATTCTGAGAAGGGACAAGGAGAAAGTAAAGACGGGGACATGGATGATAGTAAGGTGATATGTAGCTTCAACTTAGATCAGTAATTTCTGAATTGGAAATCCCATATTTACTCGTCAATTGATACCGTGTTCAGAAAAGAGCCTCCGAAATCGGAAAGCAAGGCTCTTCCTTAAAAAAATTAAAGAAGGACAAAGCAGGAAATGCAACAGCAAAAGTTGTACGCCAGGAGACCAGCACGGTGTCACCAGCTCCACGTGTAAAATCGGAGCTTGCCTTACCAGTAATGTACTTCCAAATACCTTACTGCTATTTTGTGTTAGAATGTGATGTTAAAAGAATGAACATGTGATATATATGGGTGATGCATGATTGATTAATGGAGAAATAAATATAGTAGCTGTCAAAGATTTACTTTAATTAAGTTTTTTCCCATTTTTTTCTATGTCAGGTCGACAGAGGTAGAGCAATCCATCCTTGAAGACCTGAGAAACCGTGTGCAGTTGAGTAGTGTCGCAATGCCATCTGTTAGCTTTTATACATTTGTTAATACTCATAATGGGTAATGTCCACCTCTTCACCTATTTTTTTTCTCTAGCTTGCTTGCAATGTGTTTCTCACTCTTTTATCGTTCCCCAGGTTAAACTGCGCATCTATATCTCATGATGGATCTCTGGTTGCTAGTGGGTTCTCAGATTCATCAATAAAGGTATGTTATTCTTGGATGGTTGGGATATATTTCCTTTTCTTCCTCTTTTAAATGATGGCTAAGTGAGAATTATGCTGTTCAGGTCTGGGACATGGCGAAGATAGGACAAGCTGGCAGTTGTATGTTTATTTCTATGAAACAGAATTTCTATAACGGCATTCATTTTGAGAAACATATTATTTACACCCACAATTAAGAATGATATTTCTGTCATACATTTCCCTCGTTATTTTTCATGATTGTTGTTTGTGTTTCCATGAGAAATTATAGACACTAAGCTGTCTGGTTCCAGGTGCTTTGCAAGGTGAAAATGATACAAATGACCAAATCGTAGGAACAAATGGCAGAAGAAGTTATACATTATTACTGGGTCACTCAGGGCCAGTTTACTCGGCCACTTTCAGTCCTCCTGGAGATTTTCTTTTATCTTCTTCAGCAGATACAACAAGTATGTATCTGTCCATTATTCTACGTATACTCGCTCATTAGTTCGGACTTTTCTTAGTTACCAACAATGTATTCATTAATGCAGTACGCCTGTGGAGCACAAAACTAAATGCCAATCTCGTGTGCTACAAGGGTCATAATTACCCTGTATGGGATGTCCAGGTATAACTGTTCAATTTTTACTCGTTTTTCTTACATAAGTGGAATTTGTGGTGGCGGACATGTATATATACGCCTTTCATGGTGCAGTTTAGCCCTTTCGGGCATTACTTTGCAAGCTGTTCTCATGATCGTACTGCACGGATTTGGTCAATGGACCGAATACAACCTCTGCGGATAATGGCAGGGCATCTATCTGATGTTGATGTGAGTGTCCCTCATCTTCATTGTTTGAGTTTTAATTTACAAAGGTTAAATAAAGGGACTATTTGAGTTGTTAATCATGCATGTATAAGTTTCTTGATTGTTTTGATATGCAATTGAAGTCATTGAATTACCGTGACACATATTACATAGCTAACACTTTGCATTGTTTATTGACTTAGATTAGTACCTACTTTATTTTTATGTGACCCTGGCATTCATAATTTATAAATCGTCAAATTTAAAGTTGATCCAGATATTGTTCTCTAATCCACTCGAAATCAAAAGCTCATGATGGATTACTTAACTTTTTTTATTGAACTTAATACAGATGAATAATAACTTCAATTGCCATTTGGATACCTATTGATGGGCTTTTCGTTGTACTTGTCAAATCCATTTGGTTTCAGTGTGTACAGTGGCATCCCAATTGTAACTACATTGCGACCGGCTCTAGTGATAAGACAGTTAGACTCTGGGATGTCCAAACAGGGGAATGTGTCCGGATATTCATTGGGCACAGGAGTATGGTTTTATCATTGGCGATGTCACCAGATGGGAGATATATGGCTTCCGGCGATGAAGATGGCACCATAATGATGTGGGACCTCTCAACAGCTCGCTGCATCACACCACTCATGGGCCATAACTCATGTGTCTGGAGTCTTGCTTACAGGTGAGAGATCAAGACATGAAGCAAATTAGTTTTCTTTCACTCAAATTTTGTTTCAATTAGTAAAACCCAAAATACCGTTATATTGGTTTTGGTTGACGGCTTATAATCTCTGGGTTCCTTCCTGAGCAACATTGTTTAAAGCTAGAGTGGTCCGTGTAGTTTATTGATTCCACAGTGACTTACTACTGGACTGGTAGATTTTTCTATATCCATGCATTCTCGTTATGTGTTGTGAAGAGTTATATTGGCCTAATATGTGCTGGGTCATGAATTGAATGGCTGGCTTTGGTTGGTCAAGTCCGCTTGCTTGGATTAGTGAACTCCACTTCCGATAATCCAAGATCTACTACATCTTACTACTGACCTGTTTTTCTGTTTCAGCGGCGAGGGTTCTCTTCTGGCTTCTGGATCTGCAGACTGCACAGTGAAACTGTGGGACGTCACCTCAAGTACTAAATTGACAAAGGCCGAGGAAAAGTAAGTTTGCTCCTCCTAAAGCTGTTCACTTTTTCTCTTTGAATCGTAGTTTTTTTTTTGTTAAAAACGATTTATCATTTGTTGTTTATAAGAAATGGGAACTCAAACAGATTGCGCTCACTAAGGACTTTCCCCACCAAGTCCACACCAGTTCATGCTCTCCGAGTAAGTTATGCTCTCTTTACTAAAATCAGTTCCACCATTTTTTAAACCCCGATATTTTTTTTATCTCTGGATTCTCTTCTAAGTCTTATCATCTTGTGCTTGTGAATAAATCAACTCATCCCGAAAATTAGTGACCAAGAATTCGATTAGAACAAACGTTTCAGGGTGTGTGCCCTAAGATGTGATCCATCATCATATAGAACCTTTCCTTTAACCCATAGCATTGCAAAGCTTGTTGATCAAGCATACACTAAAACTCGTTTGTGTTTGTTTTACATCGGGTGCAGTTTTCTCGGAGAAATCTGTTGTTTGCCGCAGGAGCGTTATCTAAACCCGCAAGCTGATCAAACATGCTTACAATCTGTTGTAGATGAGAAGAAATCAGGTGTAGAATAGTCCTCATGAAACTATCAAAGGTTACTTGTTTGTGGCTTTATTAGTTTCTCATTTTCTAAGATGTTGACATTCTCTCAGGAAACTAACTACTCGTGCCTTATTTATGTAACCAATCAAAGGAATCACTTGAAGCATATTTTGCCCAAAACTAGACATTTGTTCTTTCTCTTAAATGCTGAAACTTTGGATTTGAAAGATGGGTTTCTCCTCTTGTTTAGTTTATGGACAATAGTTTTCATTAAGCCAAACTCGTCTTACAAGTCAATTTTTTTCTAAAAAGAAAACGTAGTACTTAGAAAGCCAAAAACTAAACAAATGACCTGAAACCTAAAATCTATATAGAAAACTCTCTAACTAAAAAAACCCACTAGACATGAATTACTACCGCCTTTCATCTTCTCCGTCTTGATCATCACCTAATGCTTGTAGCTGTTGTCAAAATGTTTCTGAGGTATTTGCTCGCCAAGTTGTGGCTGGCTCATAGAGTCGAACTCTGATTCAAAGACGGTATCGTTTACACTGTTGTCGGCATGATTAACCCAAGTTGTGTCATGGATACTGGAGCGTTTCCTCGCCTTACTACCCGGCGCTTGCCTTAGGAAATACTTCTGTGCATGGCTTGCCACTTGCGTTGAAGTTCTCGTCGGCACAAAGTTCCTCGATATGCTCTTCCAATCTCCTTTCCCATACTTCTTTAATCCCTTGAGAAACTTTCTGAAAAATTTATCAACATCATTATTTGTCAAAAGAATCGCAATACAACGAAGA